AGACAGGATTTCATTTTAGGTCGGGGGGGGGGGCGGTAGTGAGCACGCGAATTACTTACAGAGCGCGCTCCCTAGGAGGTTGGGTTCATGGAGGAGGCAGCTTTCCCCCCCCCCGCGAAGCGCGGAAGCTTTGACGTTTCATTAAATTATTAGAGAAAGAAGGCGATTCGTTTGACCGTTCTCGACTCTTAATCCTTGTTTGAATCAAGTTCCCCTTCCTCCGCGCGTAGCGCGGAAGCTCTGATGCTTCATTAGATTATTAAAGAAAGAAGACGATTCGATGTACCATTCTCGACTCTTAATCCTCGTCTAAATTCAGCCCCCCCCCTTTCCGCGCGAAGCGCGGGAGCTTTCACGTTTCATTTAATTAGTAGAGAAACAAGACGATTCGTTGTCTCGTGTCCTTGTCTGAATTCAGTTTTCCCCCTCTCGCGCGAAGCGCGGAAGCTTTGAAGTTTCATTTAATTATTAATCTTAATCCACATCTGAAATCATTTTCGCCCTTCCCGCGCGTAGCGCGGAAGCTTTCACGTTTCCTTAAATTATTAGAAAAAGAAGATGATTCGTTGTATCGTGTACTTTGACGTTTCATTTAATTATAACTCTCAATCCTAGTCTGATTTCAGTTGCCCCCTCCCGCGCAAAGCGCGGAAGCCTTTCCGTTTCACTAAATTATTAGAGAAAGAAAACGATTCGTTGTACTGTTCTCTATATTAATCCTTGTCTGAATTTAGTTTCCCCACATGATGCACGTATGGAACGTTCGTTCGCAAATTTTTGGATGGACAGCCCGAGTGATGGGTAGCATGTTATCTCCCGGCAGTGATTGTCCCAATAGCTTCTGGAAAGAAATTATATACTACTGTTAGTGTTATCAGCCACTAATTAGGCCCATTAGTGACTATACAAAATATATGCTCTTCCTGGCTATTTGGGAATGTGTCAGTTTGCAACAACAATGGAGAAACGCGAATTTTGTTGAAAATCATGTTATATCACGAACATTTATAAATCACTTGTATGAAATTGAAAATAAGTCATGTTTGGATGTTATTTATTTATTTATTTATTATTATTTTTTAATTTTTTTTTTTTTAAAAATTATTATTATTATTATTTTTTTTTTTTGTTGGGGGGGGGGGGGGGGGATAGCGCCCACAAGCCCCCCACCAGTACGCCAGTGACATAGGCCTACATCAGCTTTTCAATAAAACAAAAATAAGATGTGACATAGTAATCTTTCTCCTAAAATGAAAAATGTTTTATGAAATATCAGGAAATAAAATGAGTGAAAAAAATAAAAATAAAGATACATGACGTGATTTTAAAAAAGGGTGAACGGAAACAACATAGCAACTAGTGAACTATCTTATAAATCATACTAATGTCCGAAAATCTTTCTCCTTGTCTCCGATCTAATCACGAATTAGAATTAGGGGGGGGGGTGTTAGTGAGCAATATTTTTTTTCAACTCAGCACAACCCCCCCCCCTTGAGCAAAAAAATAAAAAAAAATGAGGGGAGGGGTAACCCCCAATACTTTTATAAACCGTCAGTGAAATATAAATTAAAAGACTTCATTCTCTTCCAACATCAGTAAGGGTCAAGTCTTTAAATTGTCATGCTTGGATAGGCTCAATCATTTAAACGTTAGAAGGTCTGATCAAACAAAAAATTGACAAAATAGAGCAAATAGCCATGTAAGTGTTGGTGAACTTGTGTATATCTGCAAGACATTCTCGGTCAGCAATATAAATGAGAAACAGTATAGGTCAACTTTTTTAGGTCAGCCATTGTTTTGTTTTTTTGTTTTTGTTTTTTTTTAAATTAAAAAAAAAAAAAAAAAATTAAAAAAACATCACAAAAGGAGGGGGGGGGGGGGAAGGGTTTGCTCCAAAATACACACAAACAAAAAACCGAAGGGGGGGGGGGGGGGTTCAACCCCCAAATCTGATCTCCCCTACCTTTCTTTTTTATCTTTTTTTCTTTCCCTTTTCTCCTCTTTCTCTTTCCCTTCTCTTCCTTCTCTCTCTTTTAGGTTTGATGGGAAGGGGGGGGGGGGGAGAAGGAGGAGGCAAGGTCATTTCGGCCTACCCTTCTCCCTCTTTCCCTTTTCCTTCCCTTCCTTCTCTCTCTTTTAGGTTTGGTGGGAGGGGGGGGGGGGAGGGGGAGGCAAGGTCATTTCGGCCCCCACCCTTCTCCACACGTTGTTGGCGGGATTAGCTGCAAATGATCTATTTCCCCTTCTTTTCACCTTTTTTTCGGTTCCTTTTTGCTCTCTTTTTTTCCTTTTCCTTCTTTCTCTCTTTTTTATCGGGGCGGGGGGAGGCAAGGGTATTTTGCCCCACCCCCACCCCGATCCACAACTTGTTGGCGGAAAAATTGCAACTGATACCCCCTTCTTTCTATTTCCTTCCTACTCTCTTATTCATTGGGGGAGGGGGGAGGCGAGGCTCTTTCGCCCCCCCCCGATCACTTCTTCCCCCTTTTCTTTTCTTCTTCCTCTTCTTTCTTTCCCTTTCTCTCCTCTTTCCCTTCTTTTCCTTTCTCTCTCTCTCTCTCTCTTTTTTTCCCTCCTTTTTTTTTCCCTTCTTTTTTTTCCTCCTTTTTTTTTCTTTCTTCTTTTCCCCCCTTTTTTCCCTTCTTTTTTCCTTTCTTTTTTTTCCCACCGGGGGGGGGGGGGGGCGGGCACCCCGGCCCCCCCTGGATCCGAGCCTGGGTGTGGGTGAGTGGGGGGGGGGAGGGCTTAAACCCCCTTTTCTTTCTTTAATTTTTGTCTTTCCTTTAATTTCCCTTCCCTGTCTCTTTAATTCTTCCTCTTTCTTCCCCTTACTTTCTCTTTCCAACATCAATTTGGTGCGCGCGTGTGCATGTGTGTGCGTGTGTGTGTGTGTGTGTGCGTGTGTGTGTGCGTGTGAGGTGTGTACCCCTCCCCGCCCCGCTCCGCCCCAACCCCCCCCCCCCCGTTACACCCACAAATGTAATAACACTTTACCCACAAATGTAATAGTTTCACCCACAAATGTAATAACCGCTTTACCCACAAATGTAATAATTTTGAATCACCCACAAATGTAATAATGACGTTACCCACAAATGTAATAAATTTGAAGGGATATTTTGTCGAATTTGTTCTAAAACCCTGTAATAAAGCATGGGTATAGCGCGCAGTCTTTACTCCAGACCCGGTTATTTCAAAAATTTAATAAATCTTTAAAACTAAAACCCCATAATCCTTTTCCTGTGGAATAACATGCGAATCGAGCGTAGTCTTTCCTCCAGACCCGGTTATTCAAAAGTAAAAAAAAAAAAAATCTTTTAAACTAAGACCCCACCATCTTCCAAACTAAGACCCGGGGGGTGTTTCATCAACATTAGCCGTACACATGTCGTGTCAGTACACACTTTCGTAACAGACACTTGCTTTTATTGTTCTATGTAAAGTTTTGTTTTGTTTTGTAAAGTACAATGACGCGATCGATAGGAATTCGTATATCGATCCTAGGTACTAGACTGCCAACAGCCGGTGCTTTTGGCTTTTGATTACAATATATCTTCTGGTCTTTCTGGATATTGTACTACAATGAAGTAATTGATATATCTGCCTGATTTAAGTGCTCAATATTAAGAACGTCTCCGTCACAGTTTTGTTTATTGCTGTGATTTGTTGTAACTTTAGTGTTCTGACACTGCTCATTCAAACCATATGGAGCTACAACCACGAGAGAGGGGACTCCCCCGAAAGAAATGTCAGACATAATCCCTAATCGAGAATCGACACCTACCCCCCTGCCAACTACCCCCGGACAACTACCCCCTAATCACCACCCTCTAGGACTACTACCCCTAGGACAACTACCCCCAGCTAACTACCCCCTAGAATGATAACCCCCCCCCCCCCCAGCTAACTACCCCTGGACATCTACCCCGGACAATACCCCTCGGACGTCTACCCCAAGTCAAGTACCCCACGGACATCTATCCCCGGGCAACTACCCCCATACATCTACCCCCCGTCAAATACCCCGGACATCTACCCCAGCCAATTACCCCCCTGGACATCTACCCCCCCCCCAATCCAACTATCCCCTTCCAACTACCCCCAGCCAACTATCCCCACCCTGAAAACTACCCCGGACATCTACCCCCATTCAACTACCCCCGGACAACTACTCCCAACTACCTTAATTTGCTTGGGGGTAGATGTGCGGGGCCGGGGGGGGGGGGGGGGGGGGGTAGTTGGAGGGGGAGTTATAGTTGTCCAGGGGGGGGGGGGGTAGTTGGATGGGGTTAGATGTCCGGCGGTAGATGTTCGGGGAGGGGGTAGTTGACTGGGGGTAGATGTCCGGGGGTATTTAGCTAGGTGGTAGTTAGCTATACCCATGCTTTTTTTTTTTATTACAGGGTTTTAGTTTTGAACAAATTCGACAAAATATCACTTCAAATTTATTACATTTGTGGGTAAAGTCATTATTACATTTGTGGGTGATTCAAAATTATTACATTTGTGGGTAAAGTGGTTATTACATTTGTGGGTAAAGTGTTATTACATTTGTGGGTGTTATTACATTTGTGGGTAAAGTGTTATTACACTTAATTGTGGGCGTTATTACATTTGTGGGTGTAACACCCCCCCCCCTTAGCTCGCACGCTTGAATAAAGCTTCTAGTTAGGCCGGAGCGCCCGTGCACTCCTCTAGATCTATATACTGACCATGAAGAGCCTTATTCCAAAAGGAGCTAAGTCCACTTTTGATGAAAATTGAGTTATTGAACAGAACATCGTCTTTCGATCAACAAAATTATACCCGAAACTTTGGGAGCAATTATAAAAAAATGCACCTTCTAATATCACTTTTCCATAGACGCCCGTACAAAATCTGGCAACCAATTTCTTTTTCCTCAGAATTTACAAAAATAGATTTAGCTCCTTTTAAAATTAAACTCTTCATACAATTACGGAACTGACCTACTAATATTCAAACTTGAACCAAGACTACCTGTGTTGCTTTATGACGACGTCAAATTGTAATCTTGAACATGTTGCATTAAAAAAACGGCAATCTAGCCACACAAACAATAGCTCTGTCTTGGACAATGGAGGATGAAACGCAGAGAACTGTTTTAGAAAAGCTGATTGAGTATGGTAAGGAAATTAGCTACATGTATTAGCAGCAAAGATGGAAGATCTAGTGTTGTTTTTGGTCGATTGTGGTTGAATAGTGCTTGCGACCAGTCTCTTTTATTGCCCCATACATTGAGAATCGTGTAATGTTTGCTGTATCGCTCTATCATTCACAGTATCACTTAGTGCAGTGTTCTGAGCTGAGCTGAGCTGTGTGTGTGTGAGACTGTGTGTGTTGGGTTTTTACAGACGTGTATCAATCAGATATTATTTACGTCTGGGGACCGACCTTTAAACGTCACCATCCGAAAGACGTGACTCAGTTTCAAACCTGGGTCCTCGGCCGAGTCAGTTTGTAACTTCCACTTTCAGCTGGATTACAGGCGCACGCACACGCCACAACGCCTAGCTGAGTAACGGAACTTTAATTTAAAGATTCGTCGAAGCTTGACTGTTAGTGTTAGTTCACATGCTATTGTTAATTGAAAGAACATAAAAAGGTGCCCAGAAGGGTCAGATGTAAAGTATAAAAATGAGGGAATGAATTATCAATTAATAATTTATGAAATGATTGTAGATCTATAGACTGATCGGAAGTTGGAATCTGAATTAGACGGACATATCGTGTGTGCGTGACGGGGTCCGGCTGCATTGATTGAATACATGCCAGGGGCGTACGCAGGATTTTTCATGGGGGGGGGGGTTTAAAATATTGCTCCCGAAAATTTGAAAATCGCGCCGGCCGAAAAGACGCTCAGTGGGGGGGGGGGGGGGGGGGGGGGGGGGGGGGGGGGGGGGGGGGGGGAAGCGGACACTTTATTTTTTTTTTTTTTTGAGGCCAAAAAAAAAATCGCAACGACTCAGCCAGCCGAAAAGTCGCTCAGTGGGGGGGGGGGGGGGGGGGGGGGGGAACACTTTTTTTTTTTTTTTGGAGGCCAAAATTTCAAAATTTCAATAAAAAAATTAAAAAAAACCAAAGGGGGGGGGGGAGGGTTTTTTTTTTTTTTAGGGGGGTTTACATACATAAAAATACCAAAGGGGGGGGGGGGGTTTGAACCCCTAAAACCCTCCCACTGCGTACGCCCCTGATACATGCGATGAGATACTTTTGAGCTTGCGACTAACACAAAATTGGGCTCTAAATCTGAAAAATACTTGAAATAAAGGTCATTTTATGGTACCCTTATTTCTTACATACACGCGTACGAAACTCAATTTTTTAGATTTGGGTAGCGGGACCGCCGATTACATCGCTAAAATGTGATATTTTATGAAATATTTTCCATTGCAAATGTGGTTCTTCAGTGACTCTGGCATGGTATAGTATGTGCGGGATATGTGATATGCTATTATGCGATGTATTTTAAAGGGATTTTACCATGCATCCAATGGATCGGCCGAAAACTGGAGCTGGTCGTTTACCGGCTCCTTTACTCTAGATCTAAATGAAAAACTAGAATTTAATTCGTCACGAGGACGAATAAGGTGGTCTGCCTTCAAGTTATATAGACATGTAAACAATGATGATGATGATGATCTTGATAGTATTAATGGTGATGACGATGATGATCATGATCATGATGATGCTGATGATCATTATCAACAGACCATGATGACATCTGATTGAAAAAAATGGGGAAACATTTAGATAGCATATAGTCTCAGCTACAACATACTCAAAAATCAACATAATTCAAGCAGAAATAATGTCGATATTGCTCGCAGAAGATAGGAATGTAGATTCCAGATTTGAGAAAAAGTCATCTCCCTTAGGAATTACACGCAAAAAGTAAAGGATGAAGTGAAAATAGGGTAATAATAAAGTAAATATGGCTGTTTATTACGCGATTTGCGATTCTACGTGTTTTAATATTCAAAGGAGATGGTACATTGAAAGGTCAAAAAGAAAAAAAAAGATTGTTGGAGACGCCCGGACTCGAACCAGGGACCTCGAGGCAGGAAGTCAAGTGCGTTACCGATATACCAAAACATTTCCCATAGCGATTAAACAGAAAATGAAATTCTCAAATCTCACTTTGCAAGTGAAATATGAGCATGATCCCGGCATCTGATCGACAAATAAAAGTCACACTTGTGATAGCTTATTGTCTCAGCTACAACATACTCGATGCTCAGCGAAACGAAGCTATGATGACGGAGATATTGCTCGTGAAAGACGGGAATGTAGAATCCAGTTTTCAGAAAAAGTCATGTCCCATAGAGAATACACGCAAAATGTTAACAATTGACATGCCTCCTTTAATCGCAAAAATATGCCATGATGCTTTCGTCAAAATGAAAATTCGTGGTAGCTGCATCTGTAGAGGATTGTCTCAGCTAAAACATAGCAAAATTTAGATGAAAATTGATCAATATTTACAGAGATACAATCAATTTTCCAAAAATATGATGACGTCATAATATGCAAATTGACATTTTGAGTTCGGAGGCCATTATGATGACGTCATGAGTGAATTGAGGGTCAAATGAGACATAAAATCATATTTCCGACTCATACTTTATCAAGATATGAAAAAAAAATTGGGGTCATCTTGCATCCTAAAGAGCTACATGTACAATGTATTTTGTACTGTATAGGCATGTTTTTGCCCATATATGCCATGTATTACAAGAGCTCGCACGCACGGACATTTCCCTTGAACGGAGGCTCATTTCGTTATTAATGGTCATAAAGAGATAAACATGGTATCAAATTGTTCAGAATAAAATGGGCAATACTATGATAGACAAAAAAAGGAGATTCTAGGTTGCGTACGACCATTACGAACACAAACGTGCGCGTAAACGGAAAATGGAATTCTCAAATCCCACTTTGTAAGTGAAATATGAGCATGATCCCGGCATCTGATTGAAAAATAAAGGGCACACTTGTGATAGCTTATTGTCTCAGCTACAACATACTCGATGCTCAGCGTAAACAAAGATAAAACGACGGAGATATTGCTCGTGAAAGACGGGAATGTAGAATCCAGTTTTCAGAAAAAGTCATGTCCCATAGAGAATACACGCAAAATGTTAACAATTGACATGCCCCCTTTAATCGCAAAAATACGCCATGATGCTTTCGTCAAAATGAAAATTCGTGGCAGCTGCATTTGTAGAGGATTGTCTCAGCTAAAACATAGCAAAATTTAGGTGAAAATTGATCAATATTTACAGAGATACAATCAATTTTCCAAAAATATGATGACGTCATAATATGCAAATTGACATTTTGAGTTTGGAGGCCATTATGATGACGTCATGAGTGAATTTAGGGTCAAATGAGACATAAAATCATAATTCCGACTCATACTTTATCAAGATATGAAAAAAAAATTGGGGTCATCTTGCATCCTAAAGAGCTACATGTACAATGTATTTTGTACTGTATAGGCATGTTTTTGCCCATATATGCTATGTATTACAAGAGCTCGCACGCACGGACATTTACCTTGAACGGAGGCTCATTTCGTTATTAATGGTCATAAAGAGATAAACATGGTATCAAATTGTTCAGAATAAAATGGGCAATACTATGATAGACAAAAAAAGGAGATTCTAGGTTGCGTACGACCATTACGAACACAAACGTGCGCGTAAACGGAAAATGGAATTCTCAAATCCCACTTTGTAAGTGAAATATGAGCATGATCTCGGCATCTGATCAAAAAATAAAGGGCACACTTGTGATAGCTTATTGTCTCAGCTACAACATACTCGATGCTCAGCGTAAACAAAGATAAAACGACGGAGATATTGCTCGCGAAAGACGGGAATGTAGAATCCAGTTTTCAGAAAATGTCATGTGCCATAGAGAATACACGCAAAATGTTAACAATTGACATGCCCCCTTTAATCGCAAAAATACGCCATGATGCTTTCGTCAAAATGAAAATTCGTGGTAGCTGCATCTATAGAGGATTGTCTCAGCTAAAACATAGCAAAATTTAGATGAAAATTGATCAATATTTACAGAGATACAATCAATTGTCCAAAAATATGATGACGTCATAATATGCAAATTGACATTTTGAGTTCGGAGGCCATTATGATGACGTCATGAGTTAATTGAGGGTCAAATGAGACATAAAATCATATTTCCGACTCATACTTTATCAAGATATGAAAAAAAAATTGGGGTCATCTTGCATCCTAAAGAGCTACAATGTATTTTGTATAGGCATGTTTTTGCCCATATATGCTATGTATTACAGGAGCTCGCACGCACGGACATTTACCTTGAATGGAGGCCATCATAAATACGCCATGAGTTAATTGATTGTTTCGAACGGAATTTACCTTGAACGGAGGCTCATTTCGTTATTAATGGTCATAAAGAGATAAACATGGTATCAAATTGTTCAGAATAAAATGGGCAATACTATGATAGACAAAAAAAGGAGATTCTAGGTTGCGTACGACCATTACGAACACAAACGTGCGCGTAAACGGAAAATGGAATTCTCAAATCCCACTTTGTAAGTGAAATATGAGCATGATCCCGGCATCTGATCGAAAAATAAAGGGCACACTTGTGATAGCTTATTGTCTCAGCTACAACATACATGTACTCGATGCTCAGCGTAAACAAAGATAAAACGACGGAGATATTGCTCGCGAAAGACGGGAATGTAGAATCCAGTTTTCAGAAAAAATCATGTCCCATAGAGAATACACGCAAAATGTGAAAAATTGACATGCCTCCTTTAATCGCAAAAATACGCCATGATGCCATTATCAAAACGAAATATCATGACAACTGTACTTGTAAAAACTATTCTCAGCTACAACATATCAAAATTTGAAAGAAAATTGATCAATATTTACAGAGATGCAATCAATTTTCCAAAAATCTGCTGACGTCATAATATGCAAATTGAAATTTTGAGTTTGGAGGCCATTATGATGACGTCATGAGTTAATTGAGGGTCAAATGAGACATGAAATCATATCTCCAACTCATGCTTTTTCCAACCATGATATAAAAGTTGGGGGTCAATGGACTATCTGAAGAGCTATTTTGATTTTTAAAATGGCATGTTTTTTATCAAATTTGCATTATATTGCCCATAGCAGCACGCGCGGATTTGGAACTTTGACGCGCGCTCACGGCCTTATGAAAGGTCAAGAATGACTGAAATTGATGTAAATATTCATTTACGGTAAGAGGAATATAAATCATGTAAAAAATTGAATTTGACCTTTTTACGCGCGCTGTGAGCGCGCGCAATGCGCGCGGGGACGCGAACGGACGGAAAATTTTGAAATGCTTACAATGGCCTGAAACGTGTGCAAAAAAAAATTGGAACGAATTTGAGCATTTTAAAATTTTGATGCGTGCGTACGTGCGCGTTGAGGTGCGCGCACAGATTTTGTTGACATTTTTAGTTGACCTTTGACCTGAAGTTGATGTATACTAAATATGGTTCATTTTTTATTACTCGTTATTGAGATATGATAATGACCTGATTTTAACAAAATGGCGCCTGGATGACGTCACGATGACCCCATGAACTTGAAAAAGGTTTCAGGAACTTGATATTATAGGGCCTAATGACTAACAAAAATTTGAAGGAAATTGACCAAGTCGATTTCGAGTAAACGTATATACCGGTACACAAAAAAAGTGTACGGAAGAAATAAACATAAATAAAGAATAAATAAGTAGATAAATAAAGAAAGAAAATTCTAACAAAATCAATAGGTGATCTGTCATCGACAGACCACCTAATTATTATTAATGAACATGAATAATTTTTTTTTGTAATTAATTTTAATTTTAATGCATTAATTCATTATTTGACAATTGAAAATGTTGATCTTTGGAAAGAATTTTGGAATGAAAATGCAGATGATCGAATGTCAAGACATAAACAACTTTTGATTGGTTCAATGATGAATTAATCCAGTAGAGTAAAGGAGGCGGTTTTCGGCCACTTAAGACAAAATCCTATTTTTTTTACCCTTTACTTCCTATTTATTATCATTTCTTGTTCAAATCATGAAGCAAATATTATTATTATTATTTAAACAAAAAAAGAATCCCAGAAAAAAATCATGAATTGCCATGACAATATTCATTTTAATTTTCACTGTTTCTGAGTCGGTTATCGGCATAGCGAACCAGTTTTCGGCCGCATGTACAAAGTCAATAGGAAGCGCGCGCACGCCGTGCGTGTCCGCACTGATCTATAGTACTAGCGGGGCTCCCGGGAGCTCGCCAGGCCGAAAACTAGGACTGCGGTGATCGGAAATTGGAATCTGAATTAGACAGAGATATCGTGTGTGCGTTGCAGTGTCCGGCTGCATTGATTTATTACATGCAGTGAGATACTTTTGAGCTTGCGACTAGCACAAAATCGGACTCTTAATCTGAAAAATACTTGAAATAAAGCTCATTTTATGGTACCCATATTTCTTACAGACACGCGTAAGATACTCAATTTTTCAAGCGGGACCGCCGATTACATTGCTAAAATAGGATTTTTTAGGATATATTTTTCATTGCAAATGTGGTTCTTTAGTGACTCTGGCATGGTATGGTATGTGTGGGATATGTGATATGCTATTATGCGATGTATTTTAAAGGGATTTTACCATGCATCCAACCAATCGGCCAAAAACTGAAGCTGGCCGATTACCCCCTCCTTTACTCTAGGCTGTACATGTAGTAGGAGTTAGTGTGCCAAATGTGAATGAAATGTGTCTAGGTCTGCGTTTCTTGTTTTGCAAGTTTGTCGTCGAGGAAAAGGCTCGGAACGCTAGCCCTAGAGCAATAACGATTAGCCTGGAAGACGCCCTAAAAGAAAAGATGTTGTAGGCCTACCTGGTCTTCTAGATCTAGTTATGCCTTGTTTTTCAAATCTACCTGGAATACCTCTCACACAGCCATAGTAAGAATTTCACAATGTTAAAAAAAGCTCCAGAAAAATCATCTGGACAAGGATTTTTTTTAAATCAAAAGTTTTATTTGAATTCACTGTTTGGATTGCTGTGATTTTTTTAAAAGGCCAAATAGATCTAAGACTAATTAGTCAAACTTAAAGAACATCCTAAAAATGCTCTTAAATGATTTAAAGAGGTACTAAAATGATCAACAATATCTTCTTGATGCAGAATAACTAGTCCAAGGTCAACTCTGAAGCTCATTTGGTTGGTTGAATTTTAGGCGTTTTTTCAAGACAATGCAATCTCATTTCTAACCGATTGTACGAATGGCGACCAAGAAGGGGAGGTATCTCGTTATTCAATAGTTGACCTTGGACTAGTTTTTCTACATTAGAAGGTATTGTTGATCATTTTAGCATCTTTTTAAATCATGTTAGAGCATATTTAGGATGTTCTGAAAGTTTGACTAATTTGGGCACATTTGTGAACTAGTGCTGTTTTTTTTATTCAGGGCATATTTGTTTGATTTTTTCTTTAGTGGACATTGATCTATTTTTTCCCCTTCATAATGTTTTAGGTGACAGTGTGCTTGAAGAGGATTCACCTCATCAAACCACGAAGAGGAGGAGAGCAGGTCATCACCGTGGCAACACAATAGACGATGCAGTCCTCAAAGAGAAAAAGAAGATGAAGAAAAAAAAAGAAGAAGAAAAAACTCATGTCTGTGAATGTATCAAATAAAACATTTGGCAAAGAAAAGCCGAACTCCTTGAAGAGTTTTGAGGAAGAACTGAGATTATTCCAGGCATCGCAAAAGGAGAAGAACGTGGAGAAGGAAAAAATCACTGCGCTAGACAGAAGGAAAGATGATGATGAACAAAGGAGAAAGAAAAGGAGAGCTCCTGAAGTGGTTGTATTTAATGACCCTACCAAGAGGAAAAAGGAGGTATTATTTGATGCTTCATTCAGTGTCATTGATTTGTTCATTGCTGATAATAATAAACACAAAATAATAATCCATTACAAAGTATGCCCCCATGAGCTTAGAAAGAAATGCAAAGAGTTTCTTTACTTGTTTTATACAACAATTGAAATAAATATGTTTTCATTTATTGTCAATGTTTCCAAGTGAGTCAGAGATGTATTAAAGTTGATGATGTAAGTTCCCATATGGGGCTCTTGTAGCTGTCCAAAATGTGATTGAATTTGAACTTGTAATTGTTGACTGAAGGTCCGTTCAGATATGACGTGTTAAACTGAGTCATATCTTAGCGAGGCTAAAGGGAAACAAGTAGGCCTAGATTTCTATTAGGTAACCTATGATCATATCATTCAAATATAAAGCTTGATTGAGTCTAAAATGCTATGAATGTTGAGTCAGTATGTGAATACACCCTTCGGTAGCCTGTACTTACCGTATACTAAGTTCGGTAGCCTGTACTTACCGTATAAGTTATAGCAAAGAAGAAGAGACTGACGTGTAGGCTAACATAATTACTGAGACATGATGTATATTCTGGCCTTAACAATGAATTGCTTTTTGGTCTACAACCCGTTCGTCTACTACCCAATTAGTCTATTTTCCATATGGGCTACACCCAGCCCATCTACTACCAACATTGTCTAATAACTATTTTGTCTTCTTATCATAAAGCTGCTTTTATTATCTTATTTTATTATTATCTGGGGGTAATTTTTTTCTGTATCATCCCTTCTCCTAATAGAACCTAGCGAAAGCCTGAAAGAAGCTCATCCATTCATTTATTAATTAATTAATTAATTAATTCAATCCTTCAGCCAATCATCCATTTTCTATCGACTCTCCCCAAAATAGAACCTAGGGTAGCCAAGTTTTTAGAGTAGTCAAGGACCCATTAACCACTTGGCTGCGTGCCACGTGCATGTACGTGGTCTCGCTCTCGCATGTCCTGTGCGCACCACGTACGTGTTTAGAGCATTGCACTGTCAAGACTGTAGCACTGCATAATATCTAGCCCTACTGTGTAATTAGCACTGCAATTATGTTACACAGGACTTGAACAGTAGATGGCGCTCTTTCCAAAAAAATCTTGCTTTTTTGTCTACAGTGTACAGGTTTTTGTACAGTAAAAAATTGCTGTGGCACAGGGGTTGTGAATGTGTTTTAAGCCAATAGCAGTCAAGTGGTTAAGGGCAGAGAGCTTTATATTTTGTAAAATTTCTTTTATGTTTACCCTTCTCCAAGAACAGTTTTCTTTTCTTTTTGGGGGGCTAATTTATTTCTGTATCACCCCTTCTACCAATAGAACCTAGCCAAGCCTGAGGGTAGGCCTGGACCCAAGGGAAGAGAGATCCCCGAAAGAGAAGTAGACCTAGACCTCGCTAGGCACGAGGTTTGGAAGTTTGGCATAAGTGGTTTGTCCTTTGGTGATAAGGAGAAGCATGAAGCGGCTAAGGCAGTCCAGCTGGGTGCAAAGGTAACCATTAAAACACCTCCTGGGGGGTGTTTCACAAAGATCCTAAGTTGAACTTATCTATAAGTTTAGCTTAACAATTATGGAAAGCTGTTAGCATCCTTGAAAATATGTTGTAAAATTTATTTTAAAGGCATAAAATGTTGATTCAAATCATTCATATTTTCTATTATCATGGGAGATTTCATGTTCTTGATGTGGAATTTATGAAAAGTCCAAAATACTTGAATTTTTGCTTTGAATATATTTCATTATAAGGCTACAAGTGGCTCTCCATAATATTTAAGCCCGATTATGGGGCTTTCACATATACACTCCGGGGCCTGTACGGCGAGTAAAAACAGACATTTTGGGAATTTTCGGCCGGTTTCCGGCCGGCTACCGTAAAGATCCTACGGGCGCCGGGACAGTTTTTGAAGCCGTACGGGCGCCGTGGTGCTGAGTCGGCTGCTCCCAATTCTCCCGGCGTTTTTATCCGACCGTTAGGTCGTAGAGAGCCCGTGAAGGGCCCGCAGGGCACCTTACGGGTCCCGGCGGGCTCCGGACGGTGTCCGGACGGGCCCCTCACGATTTTTGGGGGTCAATTCTCATGAAAAATCTTAACGGGAACCTTGAGGTGCGGATTTCAGAGGACACATAGTTCAGTGCACCGCACGGGACCCGGCCGGGCGCCTTAAGGACCCCGGCCGGTTCCCGGCAGGGCACCTTGAGGACCCCGGCCGGGTCCCGGCAGGGCACCTTCCGGGAGCCACGGGTGCACCTGCTCATCAGACGGAGCACGTAAGCTTACCGGCCGGCATCCTTACGGGCGCCTTGCATTTCACTCGACCAATTTTCACCGGGCACCTCCCGGGCGCCGCAGAATATGTGACCACACATGCCGTAGAAAAGAAAATCGGAAGGTTCCCGTACGGTCTCTAAATCCACGGCATGCCGCCGGGTAGGGAAAATCGTACGGGGCCCGGTTTATATGTGACCTAGGCATTAGAGTTAAGTTTGACTTATAATCTTTGTGAAACAGCCCTCAGGCATCGTTTCACTAAACCATCGCAGGTACATGTACAAGTTCACCGACATCCCATTGAAACATGTGAAGAGATCAATACATGCATTTGAATGGGTTGTCAGGGAACTTGTACTTGAGATCGTTTTGTGAAATGCTACTCTGATGGTTTTTCATGTATATCCATTTATTATTAATAATTCACACCTTTAAGGCTATTAAAGGCAGTGCAGCTACACTGTAGAAGTTCACCGACATCCCGTGAGACATGTGAAGGTTTCAATACATGCATTTGAATGGGTTGTCAGGGAACTTGTACTTGAGATGGTCTTGTGAAATGCTACCCTGATGTTTATTTATGTATAACCCATTTATTATTAATAATTCACACCTTTAAGGCTATTAAAGGCAGTGCAGCTAGGTGCAAAGGTAACCAGTAAAACACCTCCAGGCATCTTTTCACTAAACCATCGCAGGTACAAGCTCACCGACATCCACTTGTTGAATTTAATACACATACTTGAATGGGTTGTTAACGAATTTGTACTAATGATGATTAATTACAGGTTTTTTTTTTTATAAAGGCAACGTTTAACAATGTTAAATCTGAGATTTATGGACCTACAGGTTATCAGTGTCTGTGATATGATGTAATATTGAAGCCTTATTCAAAATTGTGCTACAAAACTAACATGAAGTGCCTCAAAAAAGTAAAAATCTTTTGAGTGACCGGTTTTACCATTCTCATGTTCCCCAATGCACTGAAGTGTTATAAAAACTGTTAGGAAAACAAGTTTTGAAATTTCGATTTCCAATCATAAATATCTTGATAATCAGACAGGGGGATCGGCTTGTAAAAGACATGGGGTTCCTGACTGACCTAAAGGGTTATAATTGTCAATGCAGCATGAGCTAAATCCAGGATTTTGTTTCACAATCTGAGACAAAGATACCTAATCCCTTTAATGTATCAAGTTTTCAATGAGGCAGTTTTCAAAAGGATACACAAATATTTCTACACAGATGGTTGCTAAAGTAGGTTTCACTGTAATAGCAACTAAAAAATGTTTGTGTAAATTTTGTGATTCCTTATTTGCAGCCGCCCAAGAGAGCGTTTGTGAACTACAAGGAACTCATGGAAACCAAAAGGCTGAAGAAGATTGAGGAGACGCAGCAGAGAGAGATCGTAAGTAGCAAGACATTTTGATTACTAGTCAGTCAAACCTTTTGTTAGTGGTCACCTGTCTATAAAGGCCACGTGTCTATAGTGGTCACCCACATTGCCCCCCCCCCCCCCTCTCTGCTTACGGAGATAGATCCTTCGCTGCACCTGTTCTCTGGAACTCACATCCTTCCTTAGAAGATTTCTAAACACGACTTTAAACGTGAAATTAGCCCCTCGCTACTGTAGATTAATCTGTTGAGCTATTATTTAAAGCCCTACTGCACTATGTATAGCTACTGGCGCCCACTATATAGCAAACAATGCCTAATCGGTGACCATTGGTCCCCCATGGTCCCCTTTTTCTTATGTTAATTGAGAGCTGATTTGATGAGATAACCACCTGTCAGTGTCCTCGCAGGGAGGTCTAATCCCTCCTGGCCAAACTTGTGCAGAGGGGCTTAAAATGTATCTTGCATATTCATTATTATTTTCGCGCCTTGATCAAGAGCTTCGTTGTAATTCATATGTTATATTAGATTAAGAAATGTGTTGAAGAACCCGTCTACATTGGCCAATTGTGTGTTCCCTTGGATGGCTTGTAGAGATGTAGATGTGTACAGGTCCACTTGATACATCACCAGTTTATGTAACTTACATATTCATTATTGTCATGCCTTGATCAAAGGTTTGTTTATAAATAAATGTTATGTAGGCCCACTGGTAATTTAATAAAAGGAAATGTGTTAGAGAACCTGTCTAGAAGGGCCACCTGTCTACAGTGGCCACTTTTATATTTCCCTTGGGGGGCCTTTAATAAAAGATGTAGAGGTCCACTTGGTATATCACCAGACTAGATCGTAAGGTAGAGGGTTCAAAGCCCTGCCAGGCTCAAACTTTCCTTGCAAAGACATTCATCTATATTTGCCACACTCTACCCAGGTTGCGTTTTATTTTGTTATTGTTACCTGTCTGGCGTTTTTTTGTGTTTCAGGATCGACAGATGGGAATGAAAACATCAAAGAAGAAAGAAGAAAAGATACAGCTCCAGTAAGTAAAGAAATTGTTACTACAGTAAAAACTTGTTATAACGAGGTCCTTGGGACCATGGACCATGGTAATTACCTTGTTATATTTGGAATCTTGATATATCAGGGTAAACAACAGAAGAATATAAAGAGCTGGGACCAGATGAGTTTCCACTGTATTTCATTTTAAATTTTCTTTATTAGATATGGAGTTGTTCTTTGTTGTATACAAAGTGCAACAGGGGCTAGAGCTTTTTGTTACAACTTTATTACAATGCAAAGACTTAATGACTCTCCATGCCTTATTCTATCTCAATAGTTATAAGCATTTAATGAACAATTGGTCAGATATACTGTATTCCTTTACGAACTAAAAACCACATAATTCATCGAAATATTATACCAATAGATTATAATCAACAGTGGAACCTTCACCCCCCCCCCCTTTCATGTACGTTTATTTCATTACTGCCTTGCCACAGACACAAATAGTGACATTAATGTTTTTTTTTTTGGAGGGGGGTGAACAATTTGTAAGAAACTGATACCTCTTTATATCAGAGCTCTTTTTACAGAGGTTCCACTGTACATTATTCATTTTTCAAGATTGAAAATTCACAGAAAATATCATTCAACAATACTTGGAATTGACCTTAAGTCTATGGAGTGGGACAGAACACCAAATTGAATGCTACTGTACAAACCGAATAGTGCTTTCCTACGACAGTCAAACCTGCTTTAGTGACCACCTGTCTACAAAGACCATCTTTTTTGATTCCCTTGAAAATGGTCTCTCATTGAAACATGTACTAAAGGAAACTGTACTTAAAGACCACCTGCCCATATAGACCACTTTTCTTGTCTCCCTTGGATGGTCATTATAGGCAGTTTTCACTGTACAATTATTCATGTATGATAATGTCAGTTGGCTTTGCTGTGATTTTGAAATAATTCATTTTTGTTTTCAGGAATAAAGGCTTCTGGACCGACAAGACGCAGAGGAAAGGGGTCTATGTGGACGGGCAGCTTGGAAAATACAAGAGGGGTGTTCAAGTCTTTACAAAGAGGGACATGGCACAGATTAAAAATCAGAAAGGGAGAGGTCAAAGGTGACATGAAGGTCAAATTTCATAAGGACATCATTTTTTATCTTTCCTTCATTTTTAAAGCCTGTCTTCACTAATGGGGCCAGGAGGGATTAGACCTCCCTGAGTGGTCACCTCATCGAATCAGCTCTCAATTAAAGCCTCGGTCACAAATGCCATTACGAACTGCTACGAATGCCGTACAATTTTTAAACAATGGAAATTCAACGGTGATTCGTACGAAATAATCGTCTGACGAAGCTCTGTGACCGCTGCATAACATAAGAAAAAGGGGATCATGGGGGACCAATGGGTACCGCTTACGCATTGTTTGCTATATAGAGGGCGCAAGTAGCTACAAGTAGTGCAGTCCCGCTTTAGAGAGCTTTTAGTGCAGGAGGACCAAGTTTTTTTTAAATGCATATCAGGGATTATGGTTTTGGTTAGTCAATGAAAATATTCAACAATATGAAGAAGATCTCGATGATGAAGACTACAATGCTGAAAAGCTTGTTTAAATTTGGCTATAATGCAATCTCTTTTAAATTCATTTTTTATTATGATTATTATCTTGTACTTTTAATCATTTAGTCCAAAGTTTGTTGGATTTTCCTTCCCAGAATTTTATGGCACATACTAACATATTTCAAACGGATTTAAATACCATTCATTTTCTTTGAGCCTTTAAATTTTTATTGTTTTTTTTTTTAATAGTAAGTCCTTTTTAACAAGCTGTAATGTTTACTACACATGCTCAATGCCTTAATTAAAAAAATCTTTGCTGTAATGCATTTTTTATTATCATTTTTTTCTGTAGCCATTTGAGTCCAAAGTTTGTTAGATTTTTCTTATCAGATTTTATGGCACATATTAACATAGTTCAAACAGATTTGAATATATATCATTTATTATCTTGTGCCTTCTATTCTTATTTTAAATAGAAAGTCCTTTTTAACAAGCTTTCATTTTTACCACACATGCACTGCTAGGTACTAGGACAACAGATCAAAATGTTCACTTTTGTCTTGATTTGCCACTTTTTTATTCAATATGAAGGTTGAAAAACAGGATTTTCCTTCTAGATCTCATAAATAACACTATGTACATTATCTACATGTACAAACATTTCAAAATACATTGATTCAAAATATGAATAAAGAAATATACAGCATATCATCATCATTTCACGTGTGTACTAATTGCTCAATATTCTTTGTGTTTAAAGTTTTCATTGTTATTATTCCTTCATATTCTAAATATGACTTGTAACGGCTTAAAAAATGAGGACCTCATTTTTATGTCACATGTTTGTCCCAAGACTGGGCCAAATTTCTTATCATTTTGATGATTCTAGAACCTTGCATGTATATGCTACATGATCAACTTTTTTCTGATCGATTCCATACCGTTTATTTCACAATGCAATCGCATGACTAGAACTCAACTTTATCTTTAAGATTGAATTTAAACTTCAAGCAAGCAGTAATTAATACAAAATAGAGTTAAAGGTATACACTAGTATTACCAATCATGTGAATGAATATGTTTTGATGATGATGATGATGATGATGAACAGCATTTGTATAGCGCCATTTATCTGCAAAAGCATTCAAAGGCGCCTGTTTTGACTAATACGTGATGATACAAATTTTGCTGGGAAACCTATATATCTATCCGGGCTGGATAGATATCCCACAGTCTCATATACATCTTTCTGTGTACACTGCTTGTAACTTTACCAAGACTGGGCCAAATTTTTTTTATCATTTTAATGATTCCCGAACCTGGCAGTACACACCAATACTTGCATGTATATGTTACATGATCAACTTTTTCTGATCGATTCCACACCGTTTATTTCACAATGCAATCACACAACCAGGACTCAAACTTAATCTTTAAGATTGAATTTATGGTAAGAAAAACTTCTAGCAAGGAGTAATTAATTCAAAATCGAGTTAAGATGAAGAGATAAATAATAATGGCAATTCAAATGTCACATGTGTGAATACATTTCTAGTATTCTTGAGAAATAAAGAATAGGGGCATCTAGTTGATGGCAAGAAAATAATTAAATTAATGTGAATTTCCAAAGCAGTCACTAACACTTTGCATACATGTAGCTCTGGCATGAACATCATTCCATACTTTTATTGAAATTTGATTTGAGCTATACCCAAATCTCCTGTGATTAACTTAAGAACTTACAACAAAGGAATAAGAATTACATATCTGTGGGGTGACAAAACCTCTGTGACACCGTCCTTTCTTTTTAAAACTGGAATATTTAAACAATTTTTAATGTCATTGTTAAAATACAGTAAAATAATTGTTTTTATATTTGAAAGTGAGATACGAGTTTTTAGTTTGTATTCAAATTGAGATACGAGTTCTTACTTTCAACTCTGAATGAGTTACGAGGATTTGGTTGAATAAGTTACGAGGATTTGAATACACTAACTTCGGTACTGATAGGCCGTGTGTGAGTTACGAGGAAAAGGAATTACGTATCTTATGTTACGAGGTTTTGTCAGTGCAGCTTCAAAGGGGGTTAAAGTTATGAGGTTTAGTTTAAGGGTGTTTGTGTGGAATTTGTGAGAAAAAAAACGAAAAGGAGGCGTTACATGGATTTGGTGTCGTAGGCCATTAGGTACAAAATTATGCCAAAAAATCAAAATCTCAAAAATTGAGATACGAGGTTTTGTCACCCCACCGACGATTAAATGTTGAGCATCTATGGTTGTCAGGAATACAAGGAAGGTCCAAGCAGAAACATCACAGAAACAGACTGGTGAAAGTTTTAATGAAATCAAAATCAGTAAATAAATAAGAAGTTCTTGGTTCTTGGTTAATTGGTCCTCCAAAATACTCGTCTGAGTTTTACCTGGAGGTGCGGGTAGGGTGTATTAATTTGTAGATTAAGTTATTAATTTTGAAAGTTGTGATCACTACCGGTATATGTATGGGCACTTTAAATTTGCTGAATCAGTAACATCAATAGTACAGAGTGCAGGACAATTTTCCTATTTCTTTAAATATTTATACAAAATAACTAAAATGTATTTTTTTCTCAAAATGTGTGACACAGGAGGGTCTTCTATTTTTAGAGGAAGGGACAAGGCACTTCAAAGAAAAATAGGTTATTAATATTTTTGTGCACAGTAAATGGGAGAGTTGTCTGTGACTACGTCACAATCCACTGACCAAAATGCCAATTTGAGATTCACACAGATTTAGTGATCTCATATTTCAAATATTCATATCCCTCTTATCATTTGCCCTCTCTATTTAAGACTTTTGCCATAGTGAAAAACCAGCACTAATATATTTTCTTTTTGAAAATGAGACAAAAAAACAAAAAAACACCCAGGGACCCGTTTCACAAAACCTTTCTCAATGACAAATGACAAAAATCCATGACAAATCTGCTGATAACCAATCAGAAGCAAGGATCTCACTAGCTTATAACAAAAAATATCATTTGCCACTGATGACAAGTTTTGTGAAAAGGGGCCCAGGAAGCATCTACATTGCACGCAATCAAATCCAAACCTACCACATGTATCATAATGTTGCTAGGATGGACACTAATAATACCACCACATGGACGATAATATTGAAAGACTGTTTTCCTGCTTTTGAAGTCCCAGAGAAAGGATAAAAGAAGTCATTTGGCAATTTGGACTCGACGGCTGGTTTCTCGGCCCAGGAAGCAGTCGGATTGGTCGATGCGTCGATGAACTCCACCGAGACGGACACTTCAAAATTCTGAACCAGAGACTCCGCTCCTTGCTGGCAGTAGGGGCCAATGCACTGTAGAAAGAGAAAGAGAGAGAGAGATAGTGAGACAGAGACATATAGGCAGAGAGAGAGACAGATAGTGAGACAGAGACAGACAGACATATATATGGGCAGAGAGAGACGGATAGATGGAGAGAGAGACAGATAGACAGAGAGAGAGAGAAAGAGAGAGACAGATAGATGGACAGAGAAGGAAAATAAGAAATTGTTAGGGTTTATTTTTACCTGACACTGAAGAAACATAATTGGGAAGAAAGAGGTTTCTGCTACAGTACATACATACTACAAGCATCATGTCCATGTATACAAATTTCTACTTCTTTAACTTAATTTAATCATCTAATAATTAAACCTTTCTCTTCCCTTCTTTCTCCCCTACCCCTGTCTCAATTCCTTTCTTCCAACCCTTTGTCTCACTCTCTTCTCCAATATCCTAACCCCAAGATACTAGACTTCAAGTTTAAACCAATGCACTACGCTAGCCATATATTCTCTAATGATCGATCTTTCTCTCTTTCTTACCTGATATCTGAGTCTCTGTCCCGACGCATCATACCTGACTCCGATGACAACCTCTCTCTCTGTCTCTATCTCTCTCCTCTCACTTTATCTTCCCTTCTCTCTCGCTCTTCTTCTCTCTCGCTCTCCTCTCTCTCTCCTTCTCTCTCATTATCACTCCTCTCTCTTTCTTACCTGATATCTGAGAGTCTGTCCCGATGCATCAGGATAATTATATCTGACTCCGATGATCTTAGCTTGTGGGTTAGCCAAGGCTCCCACGTTGGCATAGAGCACTTCTACATGGAGAGCCATGTACATATTGTTACATACGCCCTGCTCATTGCTCTGTAAAAAAAAGAAAAGAAGAAGCATATGCAACTCACTCGTAGATCCCCATCAAGTGATTGGTTAAAAGCAAGTCCACTCCAAAAATAACTTACTCTCAATAGAAGCAGACAAATCAGACAAACCAATCAAAAAAGTTAAGAGCAAATTCGGATAACTAATAAGACACTCAGATGTTTTATTGTATAAAACAACAATTGCATGTTTTATTCGTTCATTACAGGATCTATCTGCTCCTGTTGATCCTGTTTATGCACCTATCATAATGAGCCTGACGGATTCGTAGGATAGATATATACAGCCTCAACTTGAGCAAATACTTTGTTGTATAATGAACCCATTCGCATACATCATTTGTATACAATGGAACTTCAGTATAAAGATCTCTGATATAGCTAGGCATCTGTTATAACAAGGTGATTTTGCTGGCCCTAGCTCTTTTTATTCTTTCATTTTTTACCCTGATATAACAAAAAAAAGGTTATTTTCTTGGTCCCAAGGACCTTGTAATAAGGAGTTACCACTGCATAGTAAACGAAGTTCTATTTTATGTCAGAATGTAATTGATCAAATGGCACCATGTCCAATCCATCTATCTAGTTGCCTTATCAAATCAAGAAACTGGACATTGTTTCATGAAACCAGTGTTAAACCCTAATACACATATTTTAATGCGATGTCTGTGAACTTGTACTTAGGAAATGTTTGTGAAACACCACTGCCCTGAAGTCTAACTGGGGTCCAAACTGTGTGTTAACCCTTACTGTACTGGGCTATTTCGAGCACTCTCTGACTGGGGGGGGGGGGGGGGGGGGGGGGGGGGAGGCCCCCCCCCCCCCCCCTATGATCTCGGCCATTGAATGTCCGATGAACGCGAAAATTTGCATGTTTGTAGATATTTACGTAAGGAACAAGATAGTATAATTAGTTCTTTCCTAATATGCAAATTTTCTTCGTTAGAGCCTAATTAATTATGCAAAATGCTAATTTTATGCATTTTTCAGAAAACTCTACATATTTGTCCGTGGACTTGTGAAGAATCTTGAAAATGTATGGAATAAATGTTTCCTTCATTTCAAATTCTGTATCAATATCAAATCTGGAAATATATATAGGGAACAAGAATCATTACAAAAATTGTCAGACTCCACTTTTTGAATGTTGAAACTCATTATTCATATGAAACTTCTTTTCTAACACAAAACAGTTATTTGATGTAATTAATAATTTCTTATTATATCTATTGTTTTAATTCTAATGTATTCTTTTGTTCTGAAATACATCAAGTTACTTTGAGAAACATATAAAAGCAATTTGATATCAATTCATATCTTCACATTTCTGCTTGAACATGAATAGATGCAATTATAGCACTTTTTTGATGACATGCGCATACTAATTTTTATTTAACACCTTATAGGTATATCCGATTTCAGCGAAAATGGTATCAAAATGTGCGTAAGACTTGAGGGAAAAAATTCATGAAACGACAATTCAAATTTCCAAGCGGTTGCGGCGCAATCTCTGAAAAT